CCATTGACGAGCCCATAGTTAGATACTAGTTTGTGATCTGATTTGGGACAGAGTTCAACAGTCTCATGTGATGTCCTATATAACTAAACCAATTGAATGAGTGTGTAATCACATTATAACAGGACAGAGGTCACTTCCTAAAGTCCTGGAACCTCACTGAAGGACACTACAGTCCAGAACTTTGTTCTAGTTCACAGAAACAAAAACAGTCGTTTGGTCTTATAATAGAGCCGGACGGGTTATAGTTAAGTGTTTCATATGCATCCTCTAAATGAAAGGTTGTAAATGTCCTGCATGCGGTGTGTTTATATTAAAGGCCAGAGGTATTTTAGGATCAGCTCGTTCTGTGCTGCTCTATGGGAGAGAAAATCAGTTCACTATCGTGCCGTAACATCAAAGCACGTGTGTATGTGAGAGAGAGCTGGCAGTCCGTTCATGCTTTTGTCCAGATTCCTCATGAGTTACACACGTCAGCGCATGTCTGCCATCTGTGTGTGTGTGTGTGTGTGTGTGTGTGTGTGTCCAGTTGAGTCCGGTTTGGTGGACTTTGATTATCTTGTGTCTCTGTTTGTCCTTCAGTGCCCTTCTGCTCTTAAGAGTGTAGTTGTACTTTGTTTTTCTCCCAAAAGTTTCACAAAGACGAGTATCAGGTGGCTTGAAAGCTCTAGCAGTGAATGAGACACGAATGAATGAATTGAAAGAATGAGAGTTACTAAACAATCAGTTCTCTGATAGCTGAGAGACGCTTTGCTTTCTCTGGTCTTAGATTGTCTGAGTGCTCTCATGTTTATCTGTGATGACAGGCTGAATTATCTCAGATTTGTCTGCTCTCCACTAAAACCAAAACAGAAGCCACAGATAAGCGGCATAAAACCACACACACACACACACACACACACACACACACACTGACTGAAGCCAAAAACACTTCTGAAGAGCTGCTTGACATGAAGGTCACCCGGCTGCCCTTCAGAGATCTGTGTTTAATGAGAGACAGCGAGAGCCGCGTGAGTCCAGGCAGAGTTACACATGCACCGCTGCATTATTAAATAAGTACAGCCTTTGAACAGAAAGACATGTGAAGTTATTGTTGGCCTAAATAGTTGGCGTGCTGGTGAGAGCGACTGTTGGCCTCTGTTCAAACATCCCACAGATCAGTACAGTGTGTGTGTGTGTGCTGTTGTGTCAACGTTAAGCTTTTGTTACAACCTGTTGCATGTTGCAACAGGTATTTAATGCTCAAGTGAACATAGTATAATCACATTTTACACACACTTATTCATCAAGGCTGCCTTAAATTGATCAAAAGTGACATTAAAGACATTTATAATGTTACAAAAGGTTTTCCATTTCAAATAAATGCTGTTCTTTTGAACTTTCTATTCCTCTGTGGATCCTGAAAAATAAAATGCATCACAGTTTCCACAAAAATATTGTGCAGCACAACTGTTTTCAACATTGATAATAATCAGAAATGCAGCAAATCAGCATATTAGACTGATTTCTGAAGATCATGTGACACTGAAGACTGGAGTAATGATGCTGAAAATTCAGCTGTGCATCACAGAAATAAATTACATTGTAACATCACATAGAAAACAGTTATTTTGAATTGTAATAATATTTCATAATATTTACTGCTTTTACTGTATTTTTTGATCAAATAAAGAGACTCTTAAACATTAGAAATCCATACCGACCACAAACTTTTGAATGGTTGTTGTAGATGTTCTCTTATTGCTGGTATGATGATGTAATAATAATAACAATATTGATGATGTTGTTGAACAGGTGCACCTGCAGACACAGCAGGAGGTGAAGATGAGGATGGTTGGCATGGCGATGCACGTGGTGAAGAACGACGGTGTGCTGGCGCTTTACAACGGCCTCAGCGCTTCGCTCTGCAGACAGGTCAGATCCTGATCTCAGACCAGTCTTGTGTGTGTCGGGGAATCCTGCGAGTAATGAGCAGCGGCTCTGGAACGATCTAATGTTCAACACTGAAAACGCCTGTTAAACCTGAAAAAGCCACTTTCCCCACATATAGACTTTGCCTTGAGTTAATGCTGGTTTTCCCATCATGTGATCAGGATCTGCCGCTGTGTCATGCATGGTTTGAGCTTCAGACACTGATGTTTGAGTCGTGAAGAAGTGGACACAAACTGATCCACATTGTTTAATTGGTGAAAATGCATTGTCATGCTTTAACTCACAATGCTTTGGAAACAAAAGCTGCCAAACTGCATACATGACGCATAGAAACTGATCTGCAGGACTGATTAAATGAACACATTCACCATGACATTGAAGAAATGTTACCAATATTATAGACTTCATTTGTTCAAATAAACAATTTTAAATATTTTACAAAATGAGAGGAAAATAGGTGGACATATTCTCCAAAGAAATTGTCAACATTTTATTTAACTAATATTAATCTGGTGTATTTCAAATGCAGCTGGTTAAAGGTTATTCTAGAAGATTAATGACATTTGATTTTGTGTAACGGCATGAAAGACGTGTGATGCATTTAATAGAAACCTTAATTCAGCAGTTTTCTTTTATGAAAGTGGACATTGTGAGGCAATTCTCAGCTCACATACAGCCCTGAATATATCAGAAACTCTTCCAGAAACACATGAAACCGCAGTCTCTCGTGGTTAAGCGTGAGATAAGATTGGTAGTGTTTACTGGCTAAACATTGTTTAGGATCAAATGTGAACACCGGAGATGATGAAATAGGCATATAATGCTAATGAATCTCTGTCTGTCTCTGCAGATGTCGTATTCTCTCACCAGGTTTGCCATCTATGAGACGGTCAGAGACATGATGGGCAGCGGCGGTCAGGGACCAATGCCTTTCTATCAGAAAGTCCTGCTGGGCGCGTTTGGAGGTAAACACACACAGCGTTACAGGCCAGGATATTATGACAGCATACGTCATGTGACAGTGTCAGAATTAGAGTTACAGCATAATTATGGCATATGAAACGGTTCCAGCGTATTTAGACAACCTGCATTAACTGTAGTGTTGGAAATTTTACATATTATTATTATTATTTATTTTTTTATTTTTTATTTTTTATTCAAAAAATGTTGACATTTTACAGTTTTTTTAGTTTTATTTTAGTTCAACTTTAAGTAATTTTGCTGTGTGTTCTCGCTTTATTCATATGTATGGAGACTTGTTTATGCCATGGAATAAAAAAAAAATAAAGTAAACTTTTATTTAAATTCTGAGGAGAAAAAAAAGTCAGAATTACAAGATATAAACTCGCAATTGTAAGAAATGTTGTTAAATAAAAATTGTTGGGTAAAAAGGTGTGATTACCCTTTTCATTTTTATATAAATTTGTTTTCTATTCCAAAATAAAAAACAGAACTGCGAGATGTAAACTCAGAATTGTTAGTATATATGTATAGTTTTTTTAAATCTCAAAATGCATATTTTTTTAAGAACGGCAAGAAAAAAAATATGAATTGTGAGGATTGAGGAAAAAGTCACAATTACATATTTTTTTTCGTGAAGCTGTCTATATAGTTTTTAACTTTTGTTCAGACATTGCAAGAGATAACCTTCAATTCTGAGAAAAAAGTCAGAATTACAAGATATAAACTTGCAATTGTACGAAATATTGTTAGATAAAAAAGGTGTGATCACGCTTTTAATTTTTAATTAAATTGAATTTTTATTACAAAAACACAATTGTGAGATGTTTGTTATATGTAATTCTGTTTATATCTTTCAGTTGACTTTTTTCTCAGAATTGCGAGTTTATATGTAAAGAGAGTTTTTTTTTTAATCTCAAAATGTATATTTTTTAAGAACTATTTAAGAAAAAAATATGAATTGTGAGGAAAAAGACACAATTACTTTATTTCTTCGTAAAGCTGTCTATATAGTTTTAATAAATATATTTTTAATTTCAGTTTTAGTTGTTTTACCTATTTTATTTTAATGAATGATATGAACCCTAATGCATACATTGCTAAAAACACACCGCGCTGTACTCCACAGGCTTCACCGGCGGTTTCATCGGGACTCCGGCAGATATGGTTAACGTTCGGTGTGTATCGCGGGGTTTGTGTTACTGACGTGTTTGTTTTTCTGTCTCATCTGGCCGAGTGTGAGCGCTTCGTGTTGTTCATCTCCACAGGATGCAGAACGATATGAAGCTTCCTGCGGATCAGAGGAGAAAGTGAGTGAGTCTAGATCTTAAAACCCTCCGGACGCTCATGAGCTGATTAATCTGAATCATAACTGTGTCTCTCGCAGCTATAAACACGCGCTGGACGGACTCTTCAGGGTCTGGCGGGAAGGTGAAGGCATTTCAGGATCTCTCACAGTCATTATCTTCTGCAAATGTTTGAATGTGTCTCTCTGAACATGTGTTTCTCTCAGAGGGAACCAGGAGGCTGTTCTCAGGAGCCACTATGGCGTCCAGCAGAGGAGCCCTGGTCACTGTCGGACAGGTGAGAAGCAGGATTGTTGATTTAGTTTGCAATTTATTAAATATTTTGGCTAATCAGATTAGACTTTTATTTAATGATCTATGAGCTATTGAGATTTACACCAGAGCAAGTGCATAAAATGTGTAAAAACTATTATTATAACACGGATAGTTCCGGTCCTTGATTCTGATTGGCTGAACCGCGTTCAAAGCTGTTGTAAATTACTCTACAAACACACACCTTTGTGCCCCTTAGCTGTTATAAATTCACTGTAAATCGCGGCTTCACGGGGCGTATTGCTTTATTAGATATTCTGTTACACACTGATAAATAACCCCCTGAAGGCATCTGTCAGAAGCTGTGTTTATGATGATGAAATGATCCTGAGCGCGTCTCTCTGTGTCAGCTGGCGTGTTATGATCAGGCCAAGCAGCTGGTGTTGGGCACAGGACTCATGGGAGATAATATACTCACACACTTCCTCTCCAGCTTCATCGCTGTGAGTACCGAAGCCTCTGATTGGCCAATCATAGAAAATTATTCTTAACTGATAGTTAATGGACAACTGGTTTTTATTGATTAGTAAAATACCTTTTTTTATGAGTAATTATTTGGTGGCAATTACTTAATATTTACTTAAGTGTAACTGTCTTGCATTTTAATTTTGCATTTTAATCATTTGTATTAATACAGTGGGTACGGAAAGTATTCAGACCCCCTTAAATTTTTCACTCTTTGTTATATTGCAGCTATTGCAGC